TTCAGGTTCATCCCAATCCTTTAAAAAGAGACGGGAAAAAGAAAGCAAAACTAGTGCATAGTTCAACTATATCAAATGTGTATTCAGCAAGAATGAGAAACCTCAATAATGCAGAGTAAGGAGAGCCAATTACCTCAGGCTTGATGTCATTTGGATCATCAATTTGGATTCGATCATCCCAGTCAGTGGGTTTCCTCACTGTTGGATCATTAATTTTTCTAGGTGGCAAAAAATCTAAATCATCTTCTAAGTTGCCGGATGCAACCATTTCATTATCAATTTTTACTTCATAAGTCTGATCTGGCCTTATAATCAAAGTATATAGATGCGTATATCCATCAACCTGGATTTTAAAGAAAGCAAGTAAAATTTTTTATGAACCTTAAGTATAGCTCTTAGGAACTGCCTCGCACCAGAATTATAATACTAATTTCTAATGGATTTTTCATAAGCAGTAGTAAGAAAAAATAATTCCCAAAGTCTCCTAGAGGGGGAAAATAAAATTAATGACATTTTTCACATATATTTTCCAGTCTTCCCATCTGGGTCTCTGAACAAAACTGAATGGTTGCAAGAAAACACAGTCTGTATCTGACTGGCAAGAGGAAGTGTCACAAGATTGAAAATAGTATCAGATAAAGTAATGATTTTAGTTAATATCAAATACAAGTTATTTATACCCCTAATAGCTACAGTGAAGGCCTACTACATAGGCTAAAAGCAAAAATATTGAAAATATAGCCAGGATCTTACATTTCTATCACAAGAAAGCGCTCTCTCACTAGGTATTGTGGAATTCAAGTTACAATTAAGAACACAATGACATACATTTCTTAATAACATACAGCAGCCTTGCAACCTTGTTTCATCCTGTATCAGTATCAGGTATTATGAATGCAATCATTAAGTTGCAAACTTATCATGAACTAAGAAATATCTGAAGTCCCAAAATTAACATGACTTTCAAGATAGGATGAAAAGTAGAACTTCTCAAAGGTGTTACATGTTTGGAATAGTTGTTTGGGGATTTTTTTGTTTAGGGTTTTTTTTTCTTCCTAATATCCCTGTAACTTGTTTATTTTAAAGTTTATGTATCTTTGAAATCACAGAATCGTTTAGGTTGGAAAAGACCTCTAAGATCATCAAGTCCAACTGTTAACTCAGCACTGCCAAGTCCACCACTAAACCATGTCCCCAGGCACCTCATCTACACATCTGTTAAATACCACCAGGGATGGGGACTCAACCACTTCCTTGGGCAGCCTGTTCCAATGCCTGACAACCCTT